GTGGGCTTTCTATTGATCTTAATAGCTATGTCCTTTGCCATGCAGAGATTCTGCAGTTTAATGCAATGCCATCAAAATCCCAACAATATTCTTGAGAGAAATAGAAGCAATCAGAAAATTTATATAGGATAATAGAAAACCCTGAATAGTAAAAACAATCCATAACAGAAAGAACAGTGCTGGAAGAATATCAATACCAAACTTCAAATTCTATTATAAAGCTGTAGTTATTTAAAAAAACAGCTTGATACTGGCACATGAACAGGCCTGAGGACCAGTCGAATAGAATTGAAGACCCAGAAATGAACCCACAGACCTATGGCAACTTAATCTTGATAAGGGAGCCAAAAACAGAAGACAGAAGAAAGAGAGCCTTTTATAAAAATGGTGCTGACAGAATTGGCTACACACATGTGGAAAACTAAGTGTAGATCCTTACATATAACCCTGCACCAGAATCAGTTCCAAATGGATCAATGATCTCAATGTAAGATTGGATATCCTGAAAATATTACAGAAAGAAATAGGGGAAACACTAGGGCTCGTTGGCACAGGGTGATACTTCCTAAATAAAGATCCAGAAACATATCAAATCAAAGAAAGACTGGATAATCAGGATTACAAAAATAAATACTTTTTAAACACTAGTAAATATTTTGTGGAAAATAAACTGTGCATTTGAAATTTAGAATAAAGAAGAATTGGCAAAGTTTTTGTGAACAGAAGGTAGGAATTGGTTTCTGAGAATAAGGGAGCAATTGGAAATGAAGACAATACCACCAGTTCCAAGAAGACCTCTCCTGGGATATGTGCATTTAACATACAAGGTAAAAGATCTGAATACTGAAAACATTGATGAAAGAAGTTATGGATTATATAAATAGAAAAAGCTATCCATCTTCCATATTGGAAGATTTAACACTGTCAAAACGTTTACATTACCCAAAGATTCACTGCAATAACTATTAAAATCTCCATGTTATTTTGCATGCACTTGGAAAATAAGTCCTAATATTCCTGTGTAACCAAAAAGATGCCCATATTCAAATCTGTCTTAAGTAAAAGTAACAAAGCTGAAGGCATCATACTACCTGATTTCAAGTTCTATGCCAAAACTATATTTATTGAAATTGCTTGATAACACCAAAATACAGCAAACTAAAACTAAAATTTACACCTGTTAGAATGATTATTTTACAGTGAAGAAAGTTGACATTTGTTGCTGTGGTATGAAGAAAAATGAACCTATGTGTACAGTTGATAATGTAACTGGGTATTTAGTCAGTATGGAAAATTGGATATTCCTGATAAACACTAAAAAACAAGAGTCCTGTGATATCCAGTACTTCCATTTCTGGGCATTTATCAAAGAAATGGGAATCAGTGTACTGAAGCCTTATGTGCAGTGCCATGATCATTGCAATATTGCTTGAAATAGCAGAAGTGTGAATGTAAATCTCAGTGTCCATCACTAGGAAAACCTAGTACCTAACCCCAATGGAATATTCTTCAATTTTAGGACTTGGAGATAACAACTTGTAATTTGCAGAAACCTGAATGGACCTAGAGGACATTATGCTACCTGATCCAAGCCACATACTTGGGAACAAATTACTCATGATCTCATAAATCCAGATGTTGAATTCTTCTCTTTAAATTTTTATTGTACAGGTGATATACAGAGGGGTTATAATTACATAAGTCAGGCAATGAACACACATCTTCTTGAACAGTGAATTGATAATGGAGATGTTAAAGATAAAATATTTCTGTCACATAGGAATAATTAGTTTACTAATCTATTGCACTAATAAGTGACTGTAATAAACAATGCATGAAATATTTCAAAGCTGCTTAACATTTTATTCATTTTTGTTTTTAAATGCAATATACTTGTTAGTGACATTGTAAACATTTTACTTCTAAACGTATCAAACATCATATCATATGTCACAAATATACACAACTGTTATTTTTCAACTAAAAGTTAGTAAAGGAATAAGCCCAAGAAATCCAAGAATACAATTCCTAGAAGTAACTTGACTTTCATGACTGAAAACAATACTTAACTCATGCTCATACATTAATAAAGAATACACAAAGGCCATGTGCTGATAGCTCACACCTGTAATTCTAGCTACTCAACAGGCTGAGATCTGAGTATCCAAGTTCAAAACCAGCCTGAACAGGAAAGTCTTTGAGACTCTTTTTTTCCAATTGACTGCAAAAAGCCAGAAGTGGAACTATAGCTGTAGCAGTAGAGACTATCCACTAGGGATAAAATGGTCAGGGATGACACCCAGGCACTTGGTTCAAGCCTCAGAATGGCACAAAAAAGGAACATTTTCAGAGAAAGACGACTAGACTACAGAACTTCACTAGGATTGCTAATACTGGGTGATGTGAGGCTTGGGCTCAGAATATACATACTCTGCTTACTGCTATATTGGCTTAAGGTGCTGATATAGTGTGGCCATCACTTCATGATTTGACTGTTGCGACATCAGTTCTACACTGATGCTACATGAGCATTAAGTTACAAATTCTGAGCCATTTCAAGACAGGAATTCTAAAAGGCAGACAGCATGAGCTTACTTAAGAGCCAAGAGTTCAGTGCATTTTTCAGTCTTCAGGATTAAAGCTCAGCTTTGGAAACTAAGAAAACAAAACAATTTGTATGTATCACATGATGTATCTCACAATACATTCATTATCTGTTACCGTCTAGATAAATACCAGTACTATACCTATATTATCTCTGCATTCTTCTCCACGCTGTGGTCTAATTTCATCTTTGACACTCAGCAAGTTTGAAAGAATCAAGCACAACACATATCTTTTCATCTGGAAACCAGGCAGAAATCAAAAACTTCCAATACATAGTTGGTATTGGAGGACAATGTCCTGAGTGAAGGTATAGGAGTTTCAGGAGCCTGAGGGAACTGTGCTCCAAGGATCTGGGGGGAATTTCAACTAAGTATCCTTACAAATTTTCTCAGTTGCTTTGCTGTCTACCTACTGTAATCTCTATACCATACACTCCAGCTCCTGTATGAAGAGAGAAAGCATAAAATGCAATGTAAACAGTAGAGTTCTATAACAAAACAAGGTTCCCCCAAGGTGATAAAATCCAATGCCCAGAATCTCTTCTAAAGGAATGGACACTTGTTAACATAAAAGTGCATGGACATCTTCTCATTTTAGCCTCCTTTGTTTTCAGCCTAAAATCATCACGCATATTTTTATTTATTTTTTATTATTGTAAAATACCATACAGAGGGGTTACACTTACATGTGCAAGATAGTGAGTACATTTCTTATCAAACATTGTTGGCTCCTCCTTTGTTTCTCCATACCATCCCTTCCCCTCTTTGTCCCTCGCCCCCACAAACCCTACCACCTCCACACCCACCCCCAAACCCCCCCACCCCGCCAAAGATGCAAAGTTCGTTTTTTGACACAATGTCTTGTACATCTCATTGTTGTAATGGGTCTACCTGTACCCCTATTTAAAAAGTTTGTTTTTTCCCTTCCCCTCCACAAATTATATCAACATCAAATACAGTGAAAGCATAGCTTATACCCTGAGGGAGGTACATAAAAAGCAACAAGGAAATCATCTTATAAATATGTTAGAAACAATTGCAAGAAAAAAAACATGGGAATCCTTATCTTGGGGTTCATTTCACTTAACATTAACTTGTCTTATAGTTTCTGTTTGTCTCTGACAAATACTAGTTATCACAAATAAGGGAAACCATGGGACCTATATTTCTTTGGGCCTGGCTTACTTCACTTAATATAATTTTTTCCAAGTCTTTCCATTTTCTAACAAATGGGGCAATTTCATTCTTTCTAATGGAGGCATAGAATTCCATTGTGTATATATACCACATTTTCTTGATCCATTCATGTACTGAGGGGTATCTGGGTTGGTTTCATATTTTAGCTATGGTAAACAATGCTGCGATAATCATAGTTGTGCTGGTAGCTTTAGTATGGTCTTGTTTGTGATCATTTGGGTAAATGCCCAAAAGTGGGATTGCTGGGTCATAGGGGAGCTCTATGTGGAGTCTTTTGAGAAACCTCCATACTACTTTCCAAAGTGGTTGAACAAGTTTACACTCCCACCAACAATGCAGTAAGATTCCCTTCTGTCCATATCCCCTCCAGCATCTGTTGTTATTAGAGTTCTTGATTATAGCCATTCTAACTGGGGTGAGGTGATATCTAAATGTTGTTTTGATTTGCGTTTCTTTTATAGCTAGAGAGGTTGAGCATTTCTTCATGTGTCTATTGGCCATCCTTCTTTCCTTTTCCAAGAAATTTCTCTTTAAGTTTTTAGCCCATTTATTTATGGGGCAATTGTTTCTTTTGAGGATTTGTTCTTGGGGGATTTAAGTTTTGAGTTCCAGGTATATTTTAGATATGAGACCCTTGTCCGTTGTATGGCTAGTGAAGATTTTCTCCCAATCCATTGGCTTTTTATTGATCTTGCTAGCTATATCTTTGCCATGCAGAAGCTCTGCAATTTCTTGCAGTTCCATTTGTCCAACCTTTCTTTGATTTGTTGTGTTTCCGGGTCTCTATTAAGAAAATTGTGGCCTGTGCCAAGGAGACCTAGGGTGTCTCCTATTCCATCCTGTAATGTTTTCAGAGTGTCTGCTTTGACTGCCAGGTCTTTGATCCATTTGGAGTTGATTCTGGTGCATGGTGATATATAAGGATCTAGCTTTAGTTTTCTACAATCATCACGCATATTTTAAAATATTTTGGTAATGTTACTCAGGCTTTTCTGAGGTGAACTAAGGAGAACTAAGGAAAGCAAAGAATACATGTGTATTAGCTATCACAAATTTACAATCTAACGTCTTAAAAAATAACTATAACACATCTACACACCAAATTCTAAACCCACATTAAAAAAGGATAGCTCACAGGTATCAGTTCAAATTTCAGCAAGTATTTCAACAGCAAGTAAGACAGCCTTCAAATAATTGTTAAGTGATTTTTAGAAAATCTTTAATTAGGAACTGAGATGATCTAGTGAACATTCTGCTTATAGCAGAGTTAATCTCCCTGTTCCGAAGGCTGTAGATGATGGGGTTCATGAAAGGGGGCACTATGGTGTAGAACATGGCTGTCAGCAGATTTTTAAGGGATGCTTTCTCTTCAATGGGACCTAAGACAGCTACGGAGCCAGAAATTGCAAACAAAAGGAGGATGAACAATTGTGGGGAGCATGTGGATAAGGCTTTATTCCGGGCTTCCACTGAATGCATCTTTAACACAGATGTAAATATTTTAACATATGATATAATCATAATGAAAAAACATCCTAAGACAAGGCACACACTAACAGCAATGATTACAAATTCAGAAAATTGAACCTCTGAAGATGTTATTCTCAAAACTTGAGGTATATCACAGAAAAATTGCTGGATCACATTGGTCTTTGTAAATGGAAGTCTGAATATGGCACAGGTGTGGACAGCAGAATAGACCAGACCAGAGGCCCAGGAGCCACCTGCTGCCTGGGCACACATCTTCCGGGTGACAATGAGTCTGTAGTGCAGAGGGCGGCAGATGGCAATATAGCGATCAAAGGCCATGACCACAAGGAAAGCAAATTCTGCAGTGGCAAAAAGTAGGTAGAAAAAAATCTGAGCAGCACATTCTCTCAGGGTGATGGTCATGCTGCCCGTCATGGAATTCACAATGGATTTGGGAACAAAGACTGAGATGCTACAGAGGTCTACGAGGGATAAATTGCTCATAAAAAAGTACATTGGAGAATGAAGATGAGTGTCTGTCACAATTACAGTAATGGTTATTAGATTCCCAGTTAATGTTGCTAGATAAATTGCTAAAAACATCAGACTTTGTAAAACTCGTAGCTTCTGGGAGCTGGAGATATCCATGAGGAGGAACTCTGTGAAGAAGGTGATATTGTTCATGTCTGACTAGGTGGTGTGGTCTCCCTGTGTTAAAATGATGACAAGAAGAATGCAGACAATTCTTAACACTACAAACAAAATGCAGACATTGTATCAGTGTATGCTTCTCAGTAGTATCTCAGGAAAGAATAAGTGGATAAATTGAATTCCAATAAATGTACATAGACTCATAGTAAGATTAATTCCCCATTTCCTTCTATTTACAACAATTATGTCAGTCACTCTAAGTAAGATAGCTTCTCTATTGTCATCTTTCTGGGTCTAAAAATTAGAAAGATGCTACTCATTAGGTAGGATCTAGGAATCAAGAGTGAATTTGAGTGTCCCTTTCTGTGTCTGATTGTTTTAGAAAGTATTTCCATGACAACTTTAATAAATCAAACTGCAATTCTTGTGACACATAACTATATAACTATATAGTCTCAGTATTGTTTCATTTGCATTAAAATATGTAACTGGTAATAATATTATTAAAGTCTTAATATTATGTAAGAATATCATTTGCATTCCATTAGTATTTTGTATAGTATTTATTTGAAATTTAAAAATATTTAAAAATTTTCTCCCTTGGAATAGTAAAATGGTTTGATTACCCTGACATATTTATATTACCTTCCAGTATGTTTTGCAAAATATTTTACATTGATTTATTTTCTTCAAATCCTTTGGATCATATGTGATTTATTAGCCTAATTTTTATACATGAATTGAACTTACTGTTCAGAGAGAATATTTTAATTGTCAAAAGCAATGCTACTTGATCAAATTGTTAAATTAAAATAAGCTACAATTTTGATTTTCTTAATGGAAATTCCACATTAGCTCTGGATCTTTTTTTAAAGTTTCTTATTGTAAAAACACTGTATAGAGGGGTTACAGTTACATGAGTAAGGTAATGAGTACAATTCTTATAGAGCATTGTTACCTCCTCCTTTGTTTTCCCCTATCATCCCTTCCCTCCCACCTCCACACCTCCTCCCCTTCTCCCCTACCCTGCCAAAGTTGTAAAGTGTGTTTTCAGCATAGTGTTTTGCACATCTCATTATTACAATGGGTCAACCTGTATCCTTATTTCATCGTTTTGTTATTTCCCTTCTCCTCCCCAAATTACAAAAATGTATATACAAGATGCAGGGCACCGGAATTAAATTCAGTGAAAACAGGGGTTATACCGTGGGGGAAGAACATATAAAAGAAACAAAAAAATCGCATACTACATTATACATACATTAAAAACAATAGCAAGGAAAAAACAGTTGTGTCCCTATCCTGGGGTGCATATGGAGGTTCCTCATAAAACTCCACATAGAGCTCCCTTATGACCCAGCAATCCCACTTTTGGGCTTTTACCCAAATGATCACAATCAAGGCTGTACCAAAGCTACCAGCACAGCTATGTTTATTGCAGTATTATTTGCCATAGCTGAGATATGGAACCAACCCAGATGCCCCTCAGTAGTTGAATGGATCAAGAAAATGTGGTATATATACACAATGGAATTCTGTGCCTCCATCAGAAAGAATGACATTGCCCCATTTGTTAGGAAATGGAAAGACTTGGAAAAAATTATATTAAGTGAAGTAAGTCAGCCCAAAGAAACATAGGTCCCATGGTTTTCCTTATTTGCTATAACTAGTGTAAGTCTAGGACAAGCAGAAAAGGTCAAAAGCTATGTACATATGACCATTTAAATTTAAAGAAATCCTAATGTCCCCATACTAAATTCACATGACAATTGTATTCTCAGACTGACAACCTAATGAATATTCTTGTTCAGAAGAAAAAGTTCAAGGTTCACTCATGATCTTCCTTCATTTTCTCAGTGACATTATCAAGGTATTTGGTTCTCAGCTTAAAAATACACCAGAATGAGTGGGACGTCCAATTCCTTATCATTAAAATAAGATAGCAATACACGGAGATGGTAATGCTTCATAAATCCATCAATTATCAGTAATTGTCCATAATAATGGACATATTAGAAATTTCAATTTGCTGTTTCTTTTTGTCCACTTGGTATTAAAGAGACTTTTTTATTTTGATCAACATACATGGTAAAATAAAGTTGAGTTTTGACACTCACAATAAAGGGGGCACACAGAAAAGGTGGGACAAAGGGTAAACAAACTCAGTTTGTTTTGATGAAATGTCACTGCAATTTTCTTTTGCTTCTGGGTTTCTTAGCTTTTCAGATCCAGCTCAAGAAATACTTCATTGGACCTGTTGCTCAGTTTCAAGGGAATATTTCAATCTTGATAGCTTCAAACTTCTAATTTGGCTTATATATAAAACAGATATCCAGAGTTTTAAGAACAATTACCATTGTACTTATAAGCTGAATTGTTAAACGGTAAATCTTTTGTACAACTACTTAAAGATAATAATAGTGTAATTTTTAAAAAGAACAATGACCCAAAATAAAAACTCAAATCTGAAACTATCAGTTTGTCCTATAAATATGCCATAAATCATTAAGCATACTTGAGAACTTGAAGTATATTTTAGGTACTTATATGAATTATTTATTACTTTCATGAGAGAAATATATATAAGTTAATAAATTCAAAGATACCTGAGAAGTGAGGATATGAGTGTAACCTCACTAACATGAATATTACTTTGCTTCTTTCTTCAGGAAATAAAGTACAAAAAGTTACTTCTTAGTCCATTCCACATATTGTATGAGTATTTCTGGTTCTGAATTATTTATAAATATGGAGTTTTGGAACTTGTGTGGTCAAACTTCTGATGCTCTCTAGAGACATGACCTCTAGATTTCAACCTCCAAAGAGGCCAATTTTATGTAACTGTTAACTGGTAAACAAGCAATGGCCATACCATCGAGATTAATTAAATTTCTGAGTTTGTGGGAGATAATTTATGTGATGAAATAAAAAAATATTCAAAAATGCTTAGTACATCACAAACTTTCCACTTAATGTCTAACTCTAAAATTAATTTATTAATATTATAGTTTTAAAATTTACATTCGAGGGCTGGGATGTAGCTCAGTAGCACACTTGTCTATCAAGTGAAATGTCCTGGGTTCAATCAAAACAAAAAGTAAAATACAGTTTTAAAAACCCAAACAAATAAAATTTGCAGTGATAAAAAGCATTTTATGGAAGCGGCGCTGTAGCTCATGTGGTAGAGCACTACCCTTGAGCTAAAGTACTGATGGACAGAGCCCAGGCCCAGAATTCAAGCCCCACAACTGAAAAAAAAAAAGCATTTTGTAGTTAAACTGAAATACTTGGAAACGTTGCCTAACTCTAAACCAATATATGCCAGGCAGCAAATACAATGGAATTTTATACAACCAATAGAATAATACCGTGCCATTTCCAAGGAAATGGATGGGCCCAGAACAAATCCTGTTATGAGATAAGCTAAGCTCAGGGAGACAAATGGAACATGCTTTCTCTTATATGCAGGAGCTAGATCTAAAATACACTGGGACATGGTAAATAATATAGGACTCGAGACCTTCATATGCAGTGAGACCAGAGGAGACTACTCTTAGGAGAGTTAACACAAAAGTACAATGTCTATATGTATTTGATTATATAAAATATTTATCAAAATGAACTCCAAGAAATAAAAAATAGGTTTTTCCTTTGTTGTTGTTTTCTGTTTGTTTATTTATCTTTCTTTGGGATGCTAAGGGGGGCACAGATTTGGAGGGACAAAGGGTCAACAAATACAGCAGTGGTACTCACTAGATACTATGCGGAAAAATGAACAAGGCAACTTGTAGGTGAGTTGCATGACTATAACTCCTCTGTACATCATTTTATAATAATTTTTAAAAGGTTAAAAAGGTGTCACTAAAAATGGAGTCATAGCTAAGATATCCTTGTCCATGAAACTGATGGGGGCAATTTCCCTAGGTTTCTCCCAAGCAGTTTGACAGTTTGAAGTCTTACATTCACATCTTTAAATTTGAATTCATTTTTTTCTGCATGTGGCATGTAACAAAGGCTAACTTTATTCTTCTGGGAATTTTTGGTTGGTGAGGTTCTAGGTCTTATACTTGAGGGCCTGGCACTCTACCATGTGAGATGCTCTTCAGTGCTTTTTACTTTTAGCTTATTTTTAGCATAAGGGTTTTTATTGGCTTAGGACTGCCTTAGACTGCAATCTACCTATGCCTACGCTTATGACATAGCTTTTATCAAAATGTGAACCATGATGCCTAGCTTGTTTGTTGAGATGACAAGTCACTAACATTTTACCCAGGCTGGCCTTGAACGTTGAGCCTCCAGTGACTATCTCCCCAGTTGAAGGAATTATAGGCACGAGGCATATTTCTGCCCCTTCTGATGCCTTAAATAAGTTGTCCATTCTCCATTCTGTGTTCCTGACACTTTTTCAAAAACCATTCTTGCTGATTGTATTTATGTCTGAGCTCTCCAAATTTTTACAAATTATGTGTGCCCATATTTCTGCCATTGTCATGTTGTGTTTTGATTGCTCTTAACTTTGCAATAGTTTGAAATTGGGTAATGTCATGTGCCAAATTCCTTTCTTTCCCCTCGGCATTACTTGGGATTGTCAACATATTTTGTGTGTATGTCAGTCCGAAGCTTATTTTTTTCTTTTCCCATGAAAACTAACATTTGAATTTTTATAGGAATGGTGTTCAATCTATTGATACTTTGATTAATAAGGGCATTTTGATAAATTTAATCCTGCCAATCAGCAGGGACTGATACTTTTTCTAAATACAATTAGTTTCAACAATTTCTTTTTAGTTTTCAATATTTGAATCATTTCTCTTTGGTTATATCCATTAATATGTAAGGAATTGTGCATATGACATATTTCCATAATGTGATTTAACTGGAAATTCAAAATCCATTCAATGATTTGTAAGGATATGACAAAAAGTTATATGACAAAAAGTTTTCAAAATAATATTATTGGCTTCTGAACATATACAAAATAGGCTTTAGTTTAGCATTCCAAAAGTTTACTAAGTAGCTAAAATTCCTATTTT